GGTTGGGGTACTGCGCGTTGTAGGTGTTGCAGTCCTGGTTTGGGGTCTTTGCAATGCTAAGTCAAACTACACTAATGGAATAGGAACAAAAATGAGTTTCAATTGACTTGCTCTTACTTGCGTCGTTTAAAACCTATTGAGGGCAGAGTCCAGCACTCTGAAACTTGATCTCAGCCCAGCAGGCTCGTATGACCTTTTCTCCCTCATGAGCAGCCCAGACTCCTCATCCTGGACGAGTCAAACAAGACTTTGCTTTATTCTTTGGCCTCCCTCGACTGCTGGGCCGCGATCCAAGGATCGACTCTTAATCTACTGCGGTTCCTGCTAGTTTGGGTGACGATCATAAACTTGGATTGCTTTCCGTTTGTTACTGCTCTGTCAGTCAGAGAAGAAGAAAACCTTTTGTTTTAGCTGATTGGAGGAGTACACGATTATTCTTGGCTTTCCCAAAGTGTCTGATCTTTTTTTAGCAAAACAGCCTGTTTGGGAAAGACTGTTGCCAAGTTTGTACCCAAAGCCTTATTTTGGACAGTTATCAGGATCTTAAAAGCAATGTATTGCTGAAAAGCAATGTAATCTCTGTTATAACTTGGTTGTTTTATTAGGTAGGGTGTTTGGGAGGCTAGTGATGAAAAATTATTTCAGTGATTAGTCTAAATCGCTGCTGCATCGTTTGGAAAGGAAAAAAATGAGTGATTTTTCAGGTCTTTGCCTTATTCTGTGGTGTGGAATCATGAGCACAAGAATTACTTGAGCTCTTCTAAACAACAGGATCAGTGTGTATGTCTTAAAAACATCATGTTAAGGCTGTCAAAATTAATTGCTTTTTAAGCAATTTAACTTGCATTTTGTCTGTGTTTTCTATTAAGGCTTACTCACAATTTCTGCCAATTAGTAGAACAAAATAGGAAGATATATAACTTCTAAATTGGGCACCTCTTGTATGTAACCTGTGGCAATTACATCTCTGGAAGCAAAGCCCACCTGGAAAGTTCAGTTCCAGAGGTGCATTGCAGTAGGACTTTCTATTCTGTGGCTCACGCTCAACTTTTCTTTATAGAAAGTGGAAGATAGTAGTCCTGTTGAGCTGATGCAACGTGAATATAATGATGATTCCAACTTTCTTCCGGGTTATCTGGAAAGTGGCAATTCTCTATTTTTCTTTAAACAGAATTGCAGTGGGAGAGCAGAGGCCCTGACACGGTTCATGCAGCTTCTGCATCCCCTGAATGTGACTGTGAAAAAGCCGAGAATAAGCAGAACAGAATCTGTTGAATCTTTAGGGATTTATTTTACATACTGCATTTCAGTTATTTAAAATGTTCACCTTTGTTGCAATGGCTGCTTAAATCTGACAGCTAACCTGACTGACAGCGTTTTATAAATATAAAGACTGTGTTCAGGATGAGGGATTCACTCGCTCTGCTGCCAAGTGTAATTTCGCAGAGTGTGTTTGTCTAAATGCAGCATATCTTGGCCCCACAAGTAGAGCCCGTTTCTTTAATACGTTATATCCATCAGGCAGGGTTTCTTGGTATCCGCTTGCCTACCAGTTAGAGCTTGTATGAAAGCAATCAGACTTCTGAAAGTCTAGTTTTCCCAATATATTACAGATTCACAGAATATTTACAGAATATTTAAGGTTGGAAGGCACCTCTACAGATCATCTAGTCCAACCTTCCTGCTCAAGCAGGCACACCTAGAGCATGTGGCACAGGGTGGCATCCAGGCGGGTTTTGAAGACCTCCAGAGTAGGAGACTCCACAACCTCCCTGGGCAGCCTGTTCCACTGCCTGTTACCCTAACAGTAAAGAAGTTGCTCCTCACCTGGAGACGGAACTTCTTATGCTTCAGCTTGTGGCCATTACCCCTCGTCCTRTCGCTGGCCACCAGTGARAACAGCYTGTCCCCTTCCTCCCTGCATTCTCCCTTCCTGAAYTTATACATATTAATCAKATCCCCTCTGAGCCGTCTCTTCTCCAGAGAAAACAGGCCCAGCTCACTCAGCCTCTCTTCATACAAGAGATGTTCCATTCCCTTAATCATCCCGGTTGCCCTTCTCTGGACCCTCTCCAGAAGCTCCACGTCCTTCCTATACTGGGGTGCCCAGAACTGAACACAGTACTCCAGGTGCGGAGAAGGATATTACTTTGAGAAGGAACTATTACTCATATTACTTTGAGAAGGAACTATAACTTGAACAAAACAAAGGTATTTTTTTTTCTTTGTGTTTTTATGTAAGAATGTCTATCACAGAGTGCCAGAAAGTGTCTTGTACTCTGAATGGATTAAAGGCAAGTACAGCTCAAAGCAATATTAAGAAGGGGGAGGTCGTAGGCAGCTGTAATCTGATTAGAGAAGTCAGATGTTTATATTGCAGAAGAAACTGGATTACAGCAATCTAATCTTAGAGAGTTTCCCTAACTGCAAAACAGATATCCTGCTTTCTAGGAGATCCATCTAGGGCTCTGCTATAGGTTGTAAATGATACTTAGATAGTAAATGATACTTTATACATATGTGCACAAGAGGAAGCAAAAAAGCCCCTCGTTTTTGAAGTGCAGAATAGTACTGCTGAATTTCTCTTTGTCTGTGTCACCCACTTATATGTTTTTTTGACCATTAATGGATGTGATCCTGTATAAAGGTGGTTTAACTTCAGCCTCGCTTTGCCAATTCCCATTAATGCTGCTTCCAAAGGGATTTCTTTTCATTTTTCCACTTGCAAGAGAGCACTGCTTCACCTTGATAGGAAGTTTAACCTTTATTTAATGCACAATAGGCTTCCGGATAAGTTGACAACAAGCTTTTAATGGAGCCCTTGCCTTTTGCTCCTCTGTATTTCTTGGAATATGGGTCGCTGCTGTCAGCAGATGGAGATGGCGCATTTAGGCCGTAATAATGCTGCTTAAATATGTAGGGTCGATGTTTCCCAGAGTCTGCCTGGTGTGTGAGCTTAGCTGGCTAAGTGAAGCCTGAAATGCTGCTCGCGGCTTTATTGGCCCCATCTCCTTTTGTATGCTCCAAAAAATCCAAGGTTGCAACAAGTTTTAACTGTTCACCCTGAATATCTCCTGGATAAATTTACTCTGGATCCTTGGTTGTAGACCTTGGTAAATGTCTCTAACATCAAACTAAGAGACATTAGACTCTGTGACACAGATGACATTGAGTTTCAAGATGATGAAGATGCCTTTTTTTCCTACTGAAACTGTCCAAGCTGAAGCAGATTTAGAGAATCTTTGGGAAGTCTCTTTGGAAAAGCAGTCACCAAAATGTTGTCCATAAGATTTTGGCTGTTTTTACATGCTGATCCCACCGCTAGCTGCACTCTCTGCCACTTCATATTTTCTGGAACTGCATTTCCAAGCTTGTTGACAAGCTAGACAGGTCACTTTGAGCCAGTTGTGTCTCACCTTGATACACAAGGTGTAATTTAAAGAAAGGAGCATCCTTTTAATCTCTTCCCTTCCAATAAAAGGTGAAATCCTTTATTGTTGAATTCAGTACACAAGTAGGCAGCAGGAATGATTCTTCTGCCGTATCTCCACGCAGTAATGGAGCAGGGACTTGTTTAGGCACTGTCCCTTGTACTTCTTGGGTGTACTTAAGGGGTTAAGTGTCTTTGGAGAAAATGCAATTGCAACTGTAATTTTAGCACTTGCAAGATCAGCGGTCTGTCCCCTAGCTATTGAGTTTCTGGATCTCAAATCTGATGCTGAGCTCCTACATGTCATTCCTCTCTCCAACCCATAAAAGAAGCAAGCAGATGATGTAGGCTCTCTGTTGTCTTTTCTCAAGTCTGCTATCGAAACAGCACAGATGCTTCTCCTGGTTTGAAGGGTACCAGCTCCAATTTTGACCTGTAATAAAAGATGTATCCAGAATGGTTCTGTGCTTCTTATTGATGGCAGTAAGTTTCTGCATTAAAATTTGGGCAGAATTAAGTTTGTTGCCCGGTCGTCTTGTCTGAGACTTGAGTGAGGGCAGCACTAATAGAGGTAGGAATTATAGAGCATTCAAGCCCGTAATTTCAAGTGAATAAAGAAAGAAAACATTTATCACGGCAGTTCATGCAATGGTTCACACTTTGAAAACAATTCCTTTAAAAGTACCTGGGTTTTAGTGGGGGAGATTTTTGAAGTAGCTGCTCAACATGTATTTTTAAAATTGGCTTAACTGGTGCTGAGTTTAGATCCAAGGAAAATTTCCACTTTCTCTCCCCTTCATCTCTGCTATCCCTGGTTTTACAGTCTGCCTGCAGTACCTGAGCATCCATGAAAATAGCTCGGGTTACCTGGGGATCCGACTGCATTGCAATGTACCTAGGGTTGGTCAAGGCCTGGAAGCAAATGCAAGAGCTGCAAGGGCTCCACAGGCTGCAGCTGAGGAGGAGCTGGAGGAGAAAAGGGTTTCTGGGCATTGCCTATCAGCAGAAGTGCTCTTTGGGGTTTGGAAGGAACCCCCAGGCTGTGATTAGCTGTACATTAAAGATAATTTTTCAGACGGATTAACGTAAGCACTTGATTTGAAAGGTTTTTTTAAATGCCCCTTTGAGATTTGATTTCTGTTTAAAGTGGAAAGTGTCTGTAGCTGCAAAAATACATCTAGTTTAAAGAAATGGCTTTGAAAGGAAGAAGGAGAAGGCTTTTCTAGTGCACAAGTAAAGAACCATATTTGTTTTTCTGTCCCTGTAGTTGTTCCAAAGACCGAACGCACTTGCTGTTCAGCAGCTAACAGCAGCCCAGCAGCAGCAGTATGCGTTGGCAGCTGCCCATCAGCCTCACATAGGTAAGTCCTGTAGTTGATGAGTTGCATTTCGTTAGATTTCTCTTTAGTCTTGGGGAAATGACAGGCCATGAAAGGATTTCCAGGCTTTCAAGAATCCTGCCTGTGTTTTTGCAACTGGTGAGAGTTGACACACAAGGGGAAGCATGCTGTTTCAAGATTTTCTTGGGGAAAAAGAAACGGAGATGTTAAAAAGCTGTGCAGCATTCGTGTCTGGCAGGAATGACTCTCCTGCCCTGACTGAGAATGCTGTTCAGTCCTGGGAACATTTTGAAGCCCTTGCTTGCTCTGAGTCAGACCTGAATTAGGGTAAGTAGCACATGTAGGCAGGGGAAGAATGCCCACTTTGGTGTACACTAAAGTATTCCCTGCGGTTCGGCTTTAAAATTTATAGAATTTTAAGCTTCCTAGAGTCTGACCTTGACTTCAAGTTAGGATTTATGCTAACGCAGGGTTCATAATATTAAAATGGTATGGCGTAACTGGGAAGAATGGCCTTAACGTCCTGCACAGAAAAGCAGGAGAACTGAGTGGCAGTTTAGTGTAGAAAGAGTCCTCATAGATGATGAGAGTCAAAATATTATTAACACATCAGGGTTAAAAGTCTTTAGAAAAATCAGCAAGTTAAACGATAGTTCTTCCTGAATAGAAATCCAATATAAAATTATTGGAAGCTTTTCAACTTTCTTACCGTTTCTCACCTCTTTTCTCCTGCCCTTCTCTCTCCCCCTTGGCCCCAGTAATTTCTCTAATTAAAATACTTCTTTGCAGAGGAAGATAAAGCCTGTGCAGCAGTGCTTGGAGTCACTCTAAGTGACTCCAGTGCAGTGTTATCCTGACAAACCTGAGCTGCTTTCCAACTAATTAATTGGAGTAAGGGAATTCAGAGTGTACCGGGGTAAATTAGTTCATGATTAACTTGCTATAGGAAAAAAATACAGAAGGATAATGGGCAGTCAGCTAAGATTAACACCTAGCTGGCATTAACAGCTACCTAAATAGTAAGATCTGATCCTGAAGGTCTTTTCCAGCTGTAATGATTCTATAATTCTAAAGTTGTATCTGTGCTGCACAGGTACCTTAACAGGTATGGGTAGTGGGTAGAGCCTTCCAATGGGGCAGTGCATCTTTGCAATGGGATTTACTTTAAGTCATATCCTCTGTAGTTTTTTTGTAACAAGACTGTGAAACATAACTGCTGGCTATCTATAGAAGAAAACCCTAAAATGTGAAAACACATATGTGAAAACACTAAAACAGCAGGAGCTGCTGTCTTTTTGTCTGTTTAGGTTTGCCAGCCAGGTTGTTGCAGCTGTTTAGGGCTGCAGTTCGAGTCAAGTTTGTTTTTACTGACAGGTATGTTTTCAGCAGGTTTAGCTCCTGCTGCCTTTGTACCCAACCCCTACATCATCAGTGCCGCTCCACCGGGAACGGATCCGTATGCAGCCGGACTTGCAGCAGCCGCAACCTTAGGTGAGACACTTCCAGTTGTCATTTGGTGCCATTTCTGTACCTAAACTCTTCTTAAGTCTGCGTTCATTGTGGTTCACGTGTTAGAACGGTGTAGGATGTGTTTCCTGCCAGAATAGTTATGTCTTGTTGCTGTTTAGCTTGGTATACTGCAAAGTTACCCTGTAAATGATACCCCTCTCCTTCACTACGCATCTCAAGAATTTATGCTTTGTAGGTAAAAACATCCAATATCTGCAGTGAAGTTTAGGTGATAAATATGCAGTTTTCCAGGTGGCAGAGCCAAGATGGTGGCTCTTGTCTTCGTGCAAGATCCTTCTCCCAAGCGTGCTGGTATCGGTTTCTAGATCCTTTCCAACTGTCATAGCCACAATTGCTGCATCCCCAAATGAGAGCTTGGGAAAACAGCTTATCCAACGGCGGGAAGAACACGTTACTTGCTGAACTTTTGCTGCATATGTCACAAAGTTCTGGCCCAAGTGGGGAAAACAAAAGAAAAACTTGTACTTCGAGAAATGTACTGCCATCCCTTTGGTTCAGAGTGGGTTTCAGTGGATACTCTGCTCTGCTGCCACATTGCATCTGTATATGCAGTTTGCACAGCTAATGCAAAGCTTTTCAGTTTTGGCACAGCCCGTACGTACATACCTCATATCTGGTATCAGATATAACCCACAGAACTTAGGCAGAGCACCCTGTTCAGCACAGCCTGTGTCGCGGGGTTGGTACATGACTTTTTGTCATGTTTAACGACTGTTATGTAACAACTGCTTAGCTTTTAAGCCTCAGGGACGGTCTAAGGTCAAGCTCTGAAACGGGATTGCAACTCTTAACCAGGCTGCATGGTGTATTTCTAATGGCTCATATAAAAGTACGTTAAGAATCGGGGCGATTTTAACACGTGGGCTGTGGAATTTGTTGGCTGTCAGAAATTTGTATGCTGATTGCCTAATAAAAATGAAAGGTAAGCATAGGTAACAGCGTGTTGTTGCCAAACAAATGAGGCAGTGGTTAAGTGGAAGAGGGCCAAGAGCTTGACTGCGAGGATGTTTCCAGCAGTCTGTGAGTCAATAAATGCTCCCGTGCTGGTGAATGATCATTTCAGTGCTCCTGAAGTGAGTGCTCGTTCTGCAAGTATTTGGCTGAAGTTTAGTGGAGCAGGAAGTCAATGCCTTGGTTTCATAGAGGGATCACATGTAACTGCTGCCAGATTTCTGGGAAGTCATAAACCTCTTCTGGAGCACTTTTTCCTTTTCCTTTTTTCTTAGCTGTGATGAAGTTGTGATTACATGAATCTGTGATATGAGTTGAAATCATAAATTTCCACTGGGTAATACACAGCGTGGAATAGCTAAAGCATCTCAAAACCATGCATCAAAATCCATACTTGAATAGTTTTTAATCCTTAAAACTCTTAAAATCAAAAAAAAAAAGTGATGTGTAATGCACTGCAGTGTAGTAAGTGTTACAGTTCTCAGCACCGTGAGCTGCTTCATCAGTCCCACGAGGTTTTGAACTGTAAAAGCTAAAAACAGCCGTGTAACAACCTTCCCTTCTAGTGTTTGTATTAGCAAAGGAATCTATTCTGTCTGGATTCAAACAATTTGAAAAGCCTTTTTCTAGGTAGTAAAACTGAGAGACATGCTGAAGGGGTGCAGGACTGTTTCACTGTTTCGAGCTGTGCATAAAACTCTGATCTGACCTATCAGTGCAGACCTGGCGATGACGACCAACTTGCCCTCACTGAGAACACTGTTCGCTAATGAGAGCATCACCATGTGCTCAGGTGAGCTGAGCCAGGCTCACAGGACGAGGGATGAGCTGCTCGTCTAAACCCTGCTGCAAAATTCATAGATTTGCGTCTCCTCTTTGTTTTATATTTTTAAAGCACTTAACGCTTTTGCACATCTGATGAACCATCTCTAGCCAAGAAAAAGCCATATAGATACACTCACATGATAATTGGAACCATGATTAAAACCAACTGGGAGAGATAGGCCAGTGTTGCCCGGACACAGGACACTGTAACAAAGACAAGGTAGTTTTTCTGGTAGACCGTCCATGGGAAATAGGGTTGCGGTGAGTTTCTTTAGACAGGCTTCAGTGTGAGATGCAAATATGCCCGTTCATAAAATCCCCAGTTGCTGGGGATTGCAATGATTACAAAAGACCTCGCAGACCAAGAATAGCAGGACAAACTAAACTCCTCCCTAGTCCCAAGTAGACGAGTGCCTTCATTCCCTGCTGAAAACTTCGGAATTCAGAGCTGTCATGTTTAATGTCAAATATGACTATAAGATTTGAAATGAAAGAATTTCCAGCTGTTGCTAAATTGCTGCAGCCTGTGGTGTGGATGGTAGGAGCAGTAGTTCATACAGGAGAAATCCAGGCTGTTGGGCAACGCTTTGCTTTTGCATTAGGTGGCAGTTTCACTTGGTGCAAGGATTTTGTTCCTCCCTCTGTTGTACCCAAGTTACAGTCAGCAGTATCTTTTTTTTTGTCTTCCTTTTTACCATCATCCTTCATTTTTCTTGGAATAATTTAAGTGTCTGCCTCAGACACGTGAGGAATATGAGCATTTAAGTTCTCCTCTCAGTGTCTTGCCGAATAAAAGAACAGAATTCATAGAAATACTTGATGATTTGGTTAGAGCTCAAATGCAGTTTCTCTACAAATAGAAGCTAATTTTTACTCTGTAAAAAGAATGTGTGGTCTAAATACTTGTTTGTTCTGTGGTCTCAAATACAAGCAGTGCAACCCCTGGGACTGGGGGGAAAGTAAGATACAGAACAGACATAAATGCAAACCCAGTAATGGTTTTAATGTGTTGCTTGTTGGGAAGTACTGCACCGTTCAGTGCACAGTGCTCATTTGTTCTATTTATGCCAGTCCTCCCTGACGAAAATAATTAAGGATATAGTGTCCTGAGACTTGATAATAACACAGAACAAATCTGCAAAAATTATACTGCTTTTACTCTCCGTGTTTTTTTATTTCCTTTCAAACATAACCAGTAGTTTGAGGGAGGAAGGCCCATGAGATGGACTAGATGATCTTTAAAGGTCCCTTCCTACCTTAACCGTTCTGTGATTCTATGACATTTTACACATTCGAGAACTGAGACTGGCCATTTAGGAGGAGTTTCCTTCTAATTTAATTTGGAAGGATGTGTATCTCTCTGCTGTACTTAAATGAGCTCCTTTCTCCAAACTTTTTGTTGAGATTTATTCATTCTAAAAAGCAGGGCTCAGCAATAGAAACAAGAGGTTTCAGCAGGATCAGCAACAGCAGGATTTGACCTCATCCGCTAAGGTAATAACAGGGAAAAGGTGAAACTTGAGGTCTGGCTTGCAAGCTGTTTTCAAGTGAGAAACCCAAAAGGCACAAGCTCCTGCAGCTTGCAAAGAATTCAGAGCAGATTGCCTTAACACAGGATTCATTCAGTATGACATTTGAGTGTTTTGGGGGGCCCGTTTGCAGTTCATTCAGTGCTCGTCGCTACAGGAGTTCCTCAAATCCCCTTTGGTGTTTCAGGCCCGGCAGTTGTCCCTCACCAGTACTATGGAGTTACTCCCTGGGGAGTTTATCCGGCGAGTCTTTTCCAGCAGCAAGCAGCGGCCGCTGCCGCCGCCACCAACTCGGCGAATCAGCAGACCACGCAGCAAACCCAGCAAGGACAGCAGCAGGTAAGTGGCCAAAATCAGTGCAGGTGAAATCATTTTCAGAGCAAACAGTTTGGAAGACTCACAGTTTCAAGCACACACTTATGCTCAGTTGCAAGCAACAAAAAGACCCGCTGGCCTCTTACAGACAAAAGAGAAGATCCATTTTCTATGCAATTTATCTTAGTTGGAATTGTAATTGGAATTGTTGTGTGGTAAGTGGTATTCATGTGGCTGTGGGCTCTTTGGTACAGTCTTGGTCTGAATTTGGCGACAAGGATGCAGTGGATAGAAGGAAGCTCATGCCATGTTGCTACTGCTCCTGACTGGGTATAACCTATTTTGGAAGCTCCTACCAGGACAGTTGGAAGAGGAAGATCTTTTTTGATCTTCTCCTAAATAAATAGAGTATGTGCAAAAAAAAAAAAAAACACTTATGCAAAGTCTAGTAAAAAGATATGTCACCCATAGCCCTGATGGTGTTTTTCATTACTTCTCTAGCCACAAAGCAGTCATGAGCGGGATGCACACACATGTGTTGTCTCTAATGCAAACCTTCTTTCTGTAAAATTAGAAAGTATTAATTAATTTATTTATTTATGGATGTTCCAGCTTTGACAAAGAGCCAACTCGGGGATTTTTATTTAAATTTCCCAACTTCAGTATCCTTGCCTGGTCCGTCGGTGCTGGGGGTCATTTCTTTTTTTTAATAACTTCCTGGGGTGATGCATTCACTTCCACCACCTGGTTGCAACACGGCATGCTGAGTCCCAAAAGACACAACGGAATTGTCTGTATCCAGCTGCCCTCGGAGCGAGTGCCAGCTCTTGCCTTGCCACTTGCAGTAAAAGGCTTTACAGACAAGTCCTGTCACAGGCAGTTACAGGAAAGGCCAATTTGCCGCCTTCACCTTGCGAGCTCATGGGCTTAAACCGCAAGAACGACATAGAAAAGACCGTGTGTCACATTCTGTCAGTGTTTCCAGTGAGTAAATGTCGTGTCACAGTGCCCCCATTTTCATAGGTGGGCTCCCAAGCTCGCAAAGCCCCAAGCTGCCCTGTCTCTCAGAGTTGGAGTTCGACATTTACTCGAGCTGATTTTAAAGGATGATTTTGTGTTATCCATAATGGGACAGGTGACTTGCAAACCCCTCTCATGAAGGACAGTTACTGAAAGCATCTCGGCATTAAATAAGGCCAGAAGATGCAGGGCTTACAGAATGTGCTCAGTAAATGTGAGCGGGGCAGTTTTTATCTTGGTTTTATCAAGTTTTCTGTTTTTATCCACAGTAGAAGACTGTTCCAAGTAAAGGGGAGAGATCACACGCTAATTGAGGGGTAGCTGCTGTTGGGTACCAAAAACTGTTCGCCCATCCATCCTACTCTGAGGTGCTGGGATGTGTCTGGTGCTGGGACCCAGGCCTCAGTCGCATGGTTGTTTCTGTCGCGTTCAGGTTCTTCGCGGAGGAGCCAGTCAGCGCCCGTTGACCCCGAACCAGAACCAGCAGGGCCAGCAGACCGACCCTCTAGTGGCCGCCGCCGCCGTCAATTCTGCCCTGGCCTTTGGGCAAGGGCTGGCCGCGGGGATGCCAGGTAGGCACCTCGCGACTTCTCCAGAGCCCTCGGAGCACCGAGAAAATCCTCTCGTGCGCGATGTGAGGTTTGCCTGGCATTCAGCAATGTTTGGTTTTCATGCCTGTGTTTCTTGTTTTTAATCTGTGTATGCACAAGGAGTTTAAGATGCTGTTAGGTGTGCAGAAGATTTCCAAGCAGCCTTTGAATCGAACAGGGTTAGACCCGTGTGTTACCACTCCTGTTGCTGTCCTGGGGCATCAGTCTTTATCTTGCTCAAAGGAATTTGTGGTTTCCTTTGAAATGTGCTTTTAGGTATTTTTGTGGATCGCAATATCTTATGTGATCTTTATTTTAAGACCTCTGGGATGCCTTAGTCACTTTGATTAACAGTCTCTCCATCCCTGCAAGGTACTCAGCTTTAACAGAGCAAAGACTTCCCCTCCGTAGTCCATGAGGCTGTGTGATACAAATGTTTTTGACACACAGCTAATGGAATATTACTGGAACCGCAGAATGCAGAGATGAGCATTTTTCTTTTTGAAGAATGGACACATCTGTGTCATTGGCCCAATGCAAGAGAGTCTGATTATTTCGGCTTCAGGTCTCCACGTCTCTTCACTGGCAGCATCGCAGGTTTTGTTAATGACTTGCAAAGAATGGTCCAGAGTGAATGGGAACATTTATGTTAAGTAATTTGTAGGTTTGCTTTGTTAGGTACCTAAATAATAGCTATACATTGCTGAAATTCTGATGCTCTGTGCATTACCAGAATTATTTAAAAAAAAAAAAGGAAAGAAAAATATATAACCATTATTATATGGTATTAGTAGTAATATATGTATTATTAAAACTAACATGTATTTGCGCCATGTTAGTATAGTTGGCTAAGTAGAAAAGCATCTTCTCTTACTGAAAGCTTTATCAGTATAAAAATGTAGGTATGAAAGTCATGAGCTACTAAGACAAAAGGCTTTTTGGCTTCTTTAGAAGAACAACTGTCTTTTGTTTCCCCCTACGACCACCACCTTTTTCTTTTTTTTAGCCTGTTCTGATTTTTCTTGTAAAAATGGTGCCCATTTTGAGCTGGGGGATCTGCACATGTGCTCTGTGCCTTCCAAGGTCAGCCGTGCATCTCCGCTTTCCCCCGCAGGTTACCCAGTACTGGCTCCTGCCGCCTACTACGACCAGACGGGCGCTCTCGTTGTGAACGCCGGCGCGAGGAACGGCCTGGGGGCCCCCGTGCGCCTCGTGGCCCCCGCTCCCGTCATCATCAGCTCTTCGGCGGCGCAAGCAGGTGAGTCCTCCTCCCCGCGGGAGACGCCGCTGGCCCCCGGGAGCGGAGCCGCGGGCCCTCGGCGTGTTGGCTGTGATGACCTGCTTGCCCTCACAGAGCTCCTCCAGCCAGGATCCCTGCTGAGAACTTGCTCTGTACTCCAGGGCTGAGCCACAAGAAAAGCCTGAGAATTGCTGTAGACCTCATTACTTTGCCGAGCTTTCTCTTCTCTTTTTTTTACTTCAGAGCTGGCTGAAAAGCCAAAGCCCTTGGTTTTGATCTTCTTAGCGCT